TCACTTGCCAAAGAATATGCTCTTTTTTTTAAAAATCAAAATAAAAACAAAGAGAGATCTTTTGACACCAGGGATAAAAAGAGTTGTTTGAAACTTTTTTTTTCTTCAAAAAAGTAAACAATAAGCATATAGTATTAGACATATTTTAGACCGTGGCTATTCCCCCGGCGGCCCGCCGGTCAAATCTGGCCCGCACAGGCCTAGCAAGTGGCCTGCAGATCATCTGCTGTGTTTTTCGAATTATCTTTCTATGCTGGTGTCTAGCTGGTTGTGTTTTTAGTACGCGTTTCCATAGCGAGGCGCACACGCCATTTGGAAATGATCGGTTCTATTCACGGTAACTATAGCTTTCAATTTGTATGGTGTCTAGTGTACCCTTCTGTCTTTCTTCTTCTATCTATGAGTGCAGATCAATACACAGTCTCTTTGTTAATTATTTATATAACAGTTCTATTCCGCGACTCAGACCACTGGCCCGCAAAGATTCCCATTTCCCAACATTTCGGCTTCTGGCTCAATTAAGTTGAATGACCCAGTTTTCGACCAATCGACACCCGGTGGGTGATGTGATCAACCCCACGCCGGCCACTTCTACTTCCCAGGCTTTTTACATGCTAGCTTTTTGAACGTGCATCAAAGTACTAACAGTCAACTTTGGCACCGGTTCCGAGCCATTGGTCCAGCTGAAGACTGCCATGTCAGTTGATCACACAGAATGTGAGAATCGCTCTATTTAGCCTCGTCAGCTCAGAGACAGGTTTACAACAGCTTCCTCAACTGTGCAGGCATTGCCTCCAGGACGTCATCTATCCGATCAAACTGTTCGGAACGGACAGCATGACGCTGGGCTCTGGGGACTACGACCACACCGAGAATCAGTCCTCACCGCCAATACCGTCTTCCCTGGGCCAACCAGCTTCGTCCCTGTGTAGGTGACAATCAATGGAGACGTGTCTGGTTCAGTGACAAATCGCTCATTTTGTTGCAGCGTCATGATTTACGGAGTAGGGTCTATTGTAGGTGAAATCAAGGTTTAGGCCAAAATTGTGTTGATGAAGCTCTGCTGCACGGCGGTGGAGGTGTAGGGAATAATCAGTTACAACAGAAGTCAGTCGGTGCACATTGAAGGAAGCTTGAATGCGCAACGATACGTCAATGAAATTCTTCAACTACATGTCCTTCCATTTTGGGATACCAACAGATCTTTTTTTTTTTTTTTGTGTGTACATAATAACGCCAGACCCAATTCTGCAGGGTTCCCGCGCAGTTCCTGGCTGCCTATAACATTCAAACCCTACGCTATCTGCAGACACGAGTCCGACTGAGCGGTGGGATGAGCTGCAGACGTGTTTGTCGCCTAGACGTTGCTCCAGTCAGTGGTGGTGATCTGTTCCAAGCAATACAGAAAGAATTGACAGCCATCCCACATCAGATCGCATCCATGCCCAGGAGGTGCCAGTAACTGATCCACACAAGAGGCCACACACCATACTAACGGGAAAGGCCATACTAACGGGAAAGGCCATACGCCATACTAACGGGAAAGGCCATACGCCTAAAATTATCTTGACTCAAAAGCAAAAAAAAAAAAAACGTGATTTGATTAGTAGAACTCGATTCTCGTTCGAAATTTCATTACAAAATGCAGAATGTCAAAATTGTTAGTATATATTTTCCTTTTAGTAGCTGTGCGGTTTTTTTAACAGCATAGATGCTATGACCACAACACAAAACAAAGTAGATTCTACAACCGAACACAAAAGGTGCTATGACTTCAACATAAAATAAAGTAAATGCTACAATCACAACACAAAATCAAGTAGATGCTACAATCACAACACAAAACAAAGTAGATGCTACAACCACAACACAAAATATTAGATGCAATGACCACAATAAAAAACAAAGTAGATGCTATGACCACAACATAAAGTAAAGTAGATGCTACAATCGCAACACAAAAAGTAGATGCTACAATCACAGCACAAAACAAAGTAGATGCTACAATCACAACACAAAATCAAGTAGATGCTACAACCTCAACACAAAACAAAGTAGATGTTACAACCTCAACACAAAATAAAGTAGATGGTACAGCCACAACATAAAATAAAGTAGATGCTACAACCACATTACAAAACAAAGTAGGTACTACAACCACAACACAAAACAAAGTAGATGCTACACCCATAATTTAGAACAAAGTAGATGCAACAACCACAACACAAAATAAAGTAGATGCTACAATCACAACACAAAATAAAGTAGATGCTACAACCACAACACACACAAAAAGTAGATGCTACAACCACAACACAAAACAAAGTAGATGCAACAAACACAAAACAAAGCAAATGCTACAACAAAACAAACTGCACCCAAATTTGTATCCCAACTTTTATTTTTAAAATGTTCCGCTCTTTATTTTATTTCCAGTTGCAGGATTTTGATACAATTCTTTAAAATAATGTTTAAACAATGCAATGACTCAATTTTTTTTGGGAGGAGAAAAAGTGATTGATTTATGAATTAAATCTTTACACATGAGTCAAATCTTGAGATACACATAAGAAAAAAGATTAAAATAACAAAAAAAAATAAAAAAATGAAGATATATCAATGATCAATATCAACAGATGGTGACAATACTAAAAGATATACATAATAAAAACAGTGAAAATACAGTATGCATATGTAAATATTATAAATTTAAATTAGTATTTCAATTTAACAGGGTTATTTCGAAATGCTAACTTCCACTGACAAAAAGACAGCGCCCAATTTTCCCTCACAAAGTCAAAGACAACTCCACCAACTAAGATATACAAAGAACTATAAATACATTGTGTTATGCTAGTATTGATGGAGATACGGTAAAGTAATATAATAAGGCTAATGATGTTTAAAAAAAAAAAAAAAAGAGTTGACCCTCCCTAGCTTTCTGTCGACTTTACAACAAATCACATTCTTAGGTACAAAAAAACAAAAGTAAGCTGATTTATTTAAGTATCTGCAGTTAGCTTTAGCAATTTGTGAGAAGTAACAGCTATCTTCATTACGTCGTAATAAAGTCCTTCGGATAAATAGGCTTTTTTTTTTTGTCTCTTCTATCGCAGATCACAATCAGGGGACGTCAGTAAAGCTTCGAAAGGCTACAAAATTTTAGAAACATACACTATCAGCTTTACAGAATCAATAAAAATGAAGAAAGTTTGTTGTAATGATTAGCCCTCATCAGCAACAATACTGTGAGTTTCAGATTTCAGTTGGAATGTTTTTCAGCTGCAGAACTTGGTTGTTTTTGTGTGAACTGCAGATTCAGAAAATTGAGTGGCCTGTTGCTTGAAAACTGGTGATGTGTCTTATGCTACTAACCGTGTGCACAACTAATGATCTGTCGTAGCTTGCTGCTTCCATCGATGATAACTGCAGTTCTGGTGCCGGACTGTTTGTGTTGGCACTTCAAGTGGCTGTCTTATGCATTCAATGTGTGTACATGCTAGTGGCTTTGATGAGACTGGAGTCTGTGTCAATTTTGTTTGACAAGGGCCTGTGATGGATATTCTGTATGATTTTCACTGGCACAGGAACGTAGCAACTATGGGGTGACCCATTTGCAATGAAGATGGAACTGCAATTATCTGGGTAAAAATAATACAAGTTTTGCTCCTCATGGTTCTGCTGAAGAAGGCCAATCACCGAAAACATCCATTCTGTGTTTATTGTTTTTAGTTCTGTAAAGCTGACATACTTTTTGTTTGTTCAAAAAGAATTTTTTTTCACACTTCCTCTACCCTAGGGAAGAAATTAATCCACTGAACTGGGACTGAGAAGCTTAATGAAAAAAAAATGGTGGAAGGGGGTAGGTGTGGCTAGGGCAAGATGACAAAAATGTTTACACACACACATATTTGACTGAAGCCTTCCACAACACAAACCACAAGGGAAACAAAGGGCAGATTATCCTGGCCACAAGTCCCATGTTGTCACATGAATAACAACTTTAAAATATAGTTAGAGGAAAACCCCAGGGTGTATAGGAAAGTAAAGTAAAGGACCTTTTTCATGTTATCTGTACATCGGGTAAATGGTGCCATTCTGTTTGTGACCCCAATATTGGAACAGACAACTAGCATAACACTGAATGCTAAGATTGTCAAAATGTACCAGGGATGCGTTGGCTCTGTGGCTAAGTCGATGCGAACGCTTCGTAATTCCGGGTTTGATCCCAGCTGCGAGACATGCGCCTTGCGTTGGTTTCGACAGTGGTATCAGGGAGCTGACCATCCAGAAAGCAGTGGCAAACTACTGGATGTAAATTTGCCAAGAGAAACCACACAACAGCCAGGGGCTGCTGGGGTTGGTTATGCAACGTCCTGTAAAGGATACGCAACTAACCTTAACCAGGGATGCAAAGGTAACAATATGGTTTACCACTACCAGAGTTCATATGAGCTAGGATCTATCTACAGCTCTCCAAGGCCATTCAAGAAACAAGATTCACAACTGAGAGCCTGGCCAATGTAGACAGGACTGACATTGCATCTGAAGTCAGAGTGCATTTACGTGAGAGGCAATGGACAAATAGTATGTGAACAAATGAGCCACATCTGTAAAACAGATGTGCACGCAAACACTTAAGTACTAGAACAAGACCAAAGCCAAAACATGGACGAAAAAAGAGGACTTTCTACGAGCGTCTGCAATGAGTGAACGCACAGAAGAAAAAGAATGAAATGTACCACATGCAAACTACTTCAAAACAAAAACTGCATAACGAGCAAATGCTTCTAATGAATAAGATAGCGACAAAAGGAGATTCTTATATTCCCCAAACAGAAAGGAGTTTCAAATTCAAGCATCTGTTTCCAGCATTCAACACTTCCCATAAATGTTGATTATTAAATAAACCCCAAGTTGCTAACAAACACTCCATCCTCATGACACGACAACATTCACATTTAAACCTCAAAGTAGAAAGATTCACAATTATTGCATATTCACAATACCACACAGCCACCCTTCTTCTTCTTCTTGACTTGCAGCGCAGCCCTGGTGGCAGTCTCAAACACCTCCCTCACGCCTTCTTTGGTTTTAGCAGAGCACTCCAGGTAAGAGTAGGCATTGATCTTCTCTGCCATGGCCCTGCCTTCTTCTGGTCGAACTGGTTCCTGTTTCATTTTCATGAGCTCGCGCTTGGTGCTTTCGTCGTTGCGCAGGTCTTTCTTGTTGCCAACAAGAATGATGGGAACATTTGGGCAGAAGTGGCGAACCTGGAAGGATGAGATGAAGCACCATGAAATGAAAACATTAAAGTCAGGTAAGAATTTTTGTCACAGTTTATATAAAGTAGGTCTGAAAGTCCAGATTTGTGTAAACAAAAAGACACGGTGATAAAACTGTGCTTGCCGTTGTAAAACAGGCAGTTACTTCTGAAAGTGGTTAATTTTTTTTGTTTCAGTAGTAAAGGATTCCTTTTTTGTTTGTTTTTGGTTTCCACTGGAGATACTTGCCAATGTGTCCCAAGGTATTCTGCAAACATGTCCAAGCCATCTCCAACTTCTTGCTTTGATAACATTTGCCAGTGAAAAACAAGTTTGTTTTCTAAATTTCCTCATCATTTCTTCATCTGTGATCTTGTCTGGCCAAAATATTTTCAGGATTCTCTTTATATTTATTCTGAATAGTCTCTAGTTTATGAGTAATTTCCAATGTCACTTTCCAACATTGACTGCTGTATAACAGTACTCCTAAAATGTTGCTGTTTTTGAGTTTGGCTTCAGGCTAATGAGCAGTAATGCTCCCCTGTAATTCTGGGGTATCCAGGTATACGTGTGGCAAAAATAGAGGGATTTCTGTACAACTAATATTGGCATAACACGCAAGTCTTTTCCCCCCAGATCAATTTCTTATTTTCAATCTCTCCAAAACCGCTCCATGGGTTATCTTGTAGGGCCGCTCCTGTGGGCCAGATGTCTTTTCTCTGGCTGGCAAAGTCTGGGCAGTCCTGTAAGACATGCTCTGGATTTTGCTTTGGTGAGCTACAACCACATGTAGCCGAGTTAGCAAGAGCCATTTGATGTAGGTGTGCTTAGAGTTTACAGTGTCTCGTTTTGAGTCTGACACACGTACAGGACAAGGAAGATATTCCGAGTCTGACACACGTACAGGACAAGGAAGATATCCCGAGTCTGACACACGTACAGGACAAGGAAGATATTGCAAGTCTGACACACGTACTAGACAAGGAAGATATTCCGAGTCTGACACACATACTGGACAAGGAAGATATTGCAAGTCTGACACACGTACTAGACAAGGAAGATATTCCGAGTCTGACACACGTACAGGACAAGGAAGATATTCCAAGTCTGACACACATACTGGACAAGGAAGATATTGCAAGTCTGACACACGTACTGGACTAGGAAGATATTCCGAGTCTGACACACATACAGGACAAGGAAGATATTCCGAGTCTGACACACATACTGGACAAGGAAGATATTGCAAGTCTGACACACATACTGGACAAGGAAGATATTCCGAGTCTGACACACGTACTGGACAAGGAAGATATTCCAAGTCTGACACACGTACAGGACAAGAAAGATATTGCAAGTCTGACACACGTACTGGACAAGGAAGATATTCCAAGTCTGACACACGTACAGGACAAGGAAGATATTGCAAGTCTGACACACATACTGGACAAGGAAGATATTCCGAGCCTGACACACGTACTGGACAAGGAAGATATTCCGAGTCTGACACACGTACAGGACAAGGAAGATATTCCCAGTCTGACATACATACTGGACAAGGAAGATATTCCGAGCCTGACACACGTACTGGACAAGGAAGATATTCCCAGTCTGACACACGTACAGGACAAGGAAGATATTCCCAGTCTAACACACGTACTGGACAAGGAAGATATTCCAAGTCTGACACACATACTGGACAAGGAAGATATTCCCAGTCTGACACACGTACTGGACAAGGAAGATATCCCGAGTCTGACACACGTACAGGACAAGGAAGATATTCCGAGTCTGACACACGTACTGGACAAGGAAGATATTCCGAGTCTGACACACGTACTGGACAAGGAAGATATTCCCAGTCTGACACACGTACTGGACAAGGAAGATATCCCGAGTCTGACACACGTACTGGACAAGGAAGATATCCCGAGTCTGACACACGTACTGGACAAGGAAGATATTCCAAGTCTGAAACACGTACTGGACAAGGAAGATATTCCAAGTCTGAAACACGTACAGGACAAGGAAGATATTCCAAGTCTGACACACATACTGGACAAGGAAGATATTCCGAGTCTGAAACACGTACTGGACAAGGAAGATATTCCAAGTCTGACACACGTACTGGACAAGGAAGATATTCCAAGTCTGAAACACGTACAGGACAAGGAAGATATCCCGAGTCTGACACACGTACTGGACAAGGAAGATATTCCGAGTCTGAAACACGTACTGGACAAGGAAGATATTCCGAAGACCATACATCAACGAATGTTGACAGACGACATGAGATTAGATAAAACAACATGTGTAAGAATGTGTGAACAAGGAATTAGGAGTAGATCCAGCAAGGACAGGACGTATGAGAGGAAGAGAACAACGTGTGTATTATCAGCGTGCTACAGGAACAGTTAGCATCTACACCTTAAGACATTTGCTGCAGGAGACGGAGCACTTATAGGTATGCCCTGTGTTCTACGATGTCAATTTGTTAAATCAGTAATAAGAGTCTGACAACTGTGATCTGAGCATGTTTGCCAAGCCTGTTCATACTGTCAAACAGATGACTAACATACTCAACAACCGACTAATACACTCAACAACTGACTAATACACTCAACAACCGACTAACACACTCAACAACCGACTAACACACTCAACAACTGACTAATACACTCAACAACTGACTAATACACTCAACATCTGACTAACACAAAAACCGACTACTAACACAACAACTGACTAACACACTCAACAACCAACCTCAGGTGTCCACTTCTCAGGGATGTTTTCTAAACTGTCAGGGCTGTCTATAGAGAAGCACATGAGGATGACATCAGTGTCCGGGTAGGACAACGGTCGTAACCTGTCGTAGTCTTCTTGTCCAGCTGTGTCCCATAGAGCTAGCTCAACCTGATGTCCAGGGCGAAAGCAAATAAAAAGAAAATGGTTAAGCATCTGCCATATAAGTTAAAAACACATCATACAAAAAAGGACCAAATGTTTCCCACTGCAGCTGTCTACGTGAAATAATCAGTTTACCTCGAGTCAAATAAAGCTAGTTCAATTTGATTTCCACCACTATTTAAAGGATGAAAGAGAACACAAAATGGTTAAACATCTGTAGTTCGTTTTGACAGTAAACATATTTACAAGACAAGACAAGACAAATTGTTTCACACTGCAGTTGTCTACACACACAAAATGAACACAGTTTAACTCTATCTGCCACAGAGCTAGTTCAGTTTGCTGCCCCACACTGTTCAAAGGCTGAAAGAGAACATGAAATGGTTAAACATCGGTAGTCCATTAAAACAACAGACATATTTACTACAAGACAAGACCAATTGTTCCACACTGCAATTGTCTACACAAAAATAAACAGTTTAACTCAGTGTGCCAGAGAGCTAGTTCAGTTTGTTGTCCCACATTGTTAAAAGTCTGAAAGAGAACAAGGAATCCTTAAACATCCACTAGATTAGTTCATTAAGAAAACAAATATTTACAACAGGACAGACCAAATGTTTCACACTGCAGTCTACAAAAAAACGTTAACAATGTCCCATAGAACTAGTTCAGGAATCGGCGTGGCGGAGCGGCTAGACGCCAGATCAGAAGGTCATGGGTTTGCTCACTGGCGGAGCCTGACTTTTTTCAAAAGCGACTTTGGCTCCTAGGTCGACCCAGCCTTGAGTGGGTACCGGGTACAGTCCTGGAAAGTAAAGGTGGCCTGCGTGATGGTGACTACATCACCCATTTTGTGCGGATTTGTCTTTAAAATACAGGTCTAGCCCTATATACCTAAGGGCGTGGAAAACGGGGGAGGGAGATGGGGAAAAAGGTGTCTGTCAACCATGATAAGTGGAGGATTCTGTCCACCACGTGGAATGAAACCTTGCAGGTCATATTTGTTGACCGCATTTGCTAACCTCTGAGCAATAGCTATAACATCTGCTAGATTACAAGTCTGGAAAAATAATTTATGGTGAAGTAAACACACAAAAATACAAAAACAGAAAGAAATAAAACTATACCAAACACTGACGTATGAAGCTGGCTATAAAGGGAGCATGGCCTTGGTTTTAGACTATTCAACTTTCAGGTGTAGATCAACTTTACAGCCCTAGGTTTTATCCCTCTGGGTACAGCTATTCAAATGGCAGCCTGTGGTCCCGAAACTGGCCTGCGGATCACTGCCACTTGTATTGTATTAAATTCTTTTTTTTTTTAGGCTGGATCTCGGGCTTCTGGCTCATTATAATCTGTTTTTAACTTTCTGGCCCTAAGAAAACATAGTCGAATAACCCTACCATAAGATTCAGTCTTTCTCCATACAAAGCACCTATTCACTTCTTAATGCCCGTTTGTGAGTCTTTTCTTTGTTCTCCAAAATGGAGTCCCAGAAAGTAACTGAGGTTTTAACCCACCAGGACATAACACCAAGCGATAAATACCCGGTGACACAAAGTGCCAACATTCAGACGAGGAATAAATATACATCCGGAGACTTGTCCAGAAACCATGTTCAACCGATAGGTTGGATTATAATAGGGCCCCAAGCAACTGAAAAATTGCATCCCACATGGGGACAGAGATTTACTGAGCCCCAGAGCCCACATGGGGACAGACATATACTGAGCCCCAGAACCCACATGGGGACAGACATATACTGAGCCCCAGAGCCCACATGGGGACAGACATATACTGAGCCTCAGAACCCACATGGGGACAGACATATACTGAGCCCCAGAACCCACATGGGGACAGACATATACTGAGCCCCAGAACCCACATGGGGGCAGACATATACTGAGCTCCACAACCCACATGGGGACAGACATATACTGAGCCCCAGAACCCACATGGGGACAGACATATACTGAGCTCCACAACCCACATGGGGACAGACATATACTGAGCCCCACAACCCACATGGGGGCAGACATATACTGAGCTCCACAACCCACATGGGGACAGACATATACTGAGCTCCACAACCCACATGGGGACAGACATATACTGAGCCCCACAACCCACATGGGGACAGACATATACTGAGCTCCACAACCCACATGGGGACAGACATATACTGAGCCCCACAACCCACATGGTAATATTTATAACTGACAAGCAGGCAACACACACTATTAGATTAACACCTCATGGATAGAAATCACACAGGAGCAAATCTCAGAGAGATCCCATTCAACTATTTATTGCTATCATTGGGTTCCTCTAACTACAACCTAACCTGCAGCCCCCTGCGGGTGAAAGCTCTTGAAAGAAAACATGAACATTCTTGAAAAAAATCATGAACATTCTTGAAAGAAAACATGAACATTCTTGAAAGAAAACATGAACATTCTTGAAAGAAAACATGAACATTCTTGAAAGAAAACATGAACGTTTTTAAAAGAAATCATGAACCTTTTTGAAAGAAATCATGAACATTTTTGAAAGAAATCATTAACGTTCTTGAAAAAAAAAAACTTGAACATTTTTAAAAGAAATCATGAACGTTCTTGAAAGAAATCATGAACGTTCTTGAAAGAAAACATGAACGTTTTTAAAAGAAATCATGAACCTTTTTGAAAGAAATCATGAATGTTCTTGAAAGAAATCATGAACGTTCTTGAAAGAAAACATGAACGTTTTTAAAAGAAATCATGAATGTTCTTGAAAGAAATCATGAACGTTCTTGAAAGAAAACATGAACGTTTTTAAAAGAAAACATGAACGTTTTTAAAAAAAATCAAGAACGTTCTTGAAAGAAATCATGAATGTTCTTGAGAGAAAAAATGCAAAACAAATGAAAGATTTAAAGTAGACAGAATCAAATTTACTGCCGTGGGCTTCCCCCCCCCCCCCAAACATTTTGGGGGGAAACATAAAAGGAGGAAATTATACCTTATACTATAATAATTATACCTACCATGTCTACACACTGTGCAGTTGTAACCAGCATCAAAGCTGTTAAACATACAGGTGTACTGGCCACTGTTCAATGATGTCAAGTCATCAAACACTGGTCAAAGTAGGAAAACCTGCTTATTCAAAGTGACAGGGTCAAGACTTGTTTTCGTCTGCTAGAATCCTTCTCTTTCACTGGCTTGCCATTAGAGGTCTTCAGTCAAGACCTCAACCCACTTGTCCAGCCAGTCAGTCATCTCTTGTGTTTTATGCATGGACCTGCGCAGTTCACAAGAGTGCGCTTGTGAACTGTGCATACAAACTGCAGCACATACCTTGCAAGAATGTCCCTTGCAAAGCCCAATTAGGAATGAATACTGATGAGGCAGGAGTCGACCAGAATGAAGGAACACATGAATGAACAAACTATTTCCAAAGGGTCACACGATATAATGATGAACAAACCACCAAGCACAACTGTGATGACCAAAGTTCAGTAGCCGATAAACATTAAAAACATTAATAAATATCTGTACCCAGGCTTCTTCTGCAGAATGTACCAGAAATGGTTCTGAACCCACTCTCCTTTCCTATTTATACACAGAATATCAAGGACACACAGGGCATGAAAGTTCAAGAGGTGGCAAAATTGACAGGGGACCTAACTGGCTTTTTTAATGTTCAATATGAGAGCAACATTCTGCAAAGGACCTTCAAGATGACGAATCCTGATCTACAAGATGACGAATCCAGACCTACAAGATGACGAATCCAGACCTACATGATGATGAATCCAGACCTACAAGATGATGAATCCAGACCTATAAGATGATGAATCCAGACCTACAAGATGATGAATCCAGACCTACATGATGATGAATCCAGACCTACATGATGATGAATCCAGACCTACATGATGATGAATCCAGACCTACATGATGATGAATCCAGACCTACAAGATGACGAATCCAGACCTACATGATGATGAATCCAGACCTACATGATGATGAATCCAGACCTACATGATGATGAATCCAGACCTACATGATGATGAATCCAGACCTACATGATGATGAATCCAGACCTACATGATGATGAATCCAGACCTACATGATGATGAATCCAGACCTACATGATGACGAATCCTGATCTACAAGATGATGAATCCAGACCTACATGATGACGAATCCTGATCTACAAGATGATGAATCCAGACCTACAAGATGATGAATCCAGACCTACAAGATGATGAATCCAGACAACACCAATATAGAAAAATACAAAGAAGAAGAAAACTATCTTGTTTTGCTGTTAACTGAAAATATTTTTTGTTTGTTTATTGTACACATGCTGTGACAGAAAAATACAATGAATAAAAAACAGCAAATGGAGATTATATGGTAAATCATGGTTACAATGATTTCTTAGTTATCTAAATGATAAAAAGACATCTGGGGGAAGACACGAAGCAAAAATATAAATTATATATAGTCAGCAAGTACGTTTGGAGAATCACAGACTGTAAGCCAATTTAACTGTGATATAGGAGACGAAACATTTACCAACATTACAGACAGGTGAGTCATACCTTCCCCCTCTCGCCCTGGGAATACTACACACAAACAAATGGGTCACACGACCAGCACAAATTCCAGAAAAACTCTTTTTAAAAAATTGCACAGGTCACTAAACAATTCATTCAAATGTATTTATCCAAATTGTTTCTTCAAAATGTATCAATATATATGAAGGGAGTAAATCCATAAACACAAGCAGGATGAAGCATTAAATGGAATACATTCCCCAGGCCTAAAACAAACACATCAGGTGACTCATACTGTGACCTTTACCACGAAGGATTACGGGGTAATCTGACTTAAATGTGGCTTTAAAAAAAACTATCTGGTTCAACCCCCTAAACACCCACCTAAATGGGATTTTTAATTAATGTCTTTATATCTTGACCTTCTAAAAGTGTGCACAGGTGCACACTCGGCCAATATGTGTTTCATAAACAGGTAACCATAAACAAGTCAAAAAAGTGACATTTACTGAGAATTGAACCCAACCGAAGTGTCAGCTTTACTGCATCTCCGGGCAAAGGGATTCAGATAATGCTAAGGTTACATAAGAGAAAACACACGTACAAACACAACATACAGATCAGATATACGTTCACATGAAAAGGGCCCAATATCACTGTAATATAAGAGATGAAAGCTTCACCAACACTGCAGATAGATAAGGTATGCCTTATCATCATAGGACTGCTGATTTAAGACAAAACATCCTCACAAACAACATATAGATGAGATATGGCTTCATACCACAAGGTAATGCTACTGTTACATAAAAGAAAACATCCTTACAAACACAACATATAGATCAGCTATATATATATATATATATATATATATATATATATATATATATATATATATATATAGATCTGCAATATAAGAGATGAAAACTTCACCAACACAACATATAGATAATGTATGCCTTAACATCATTAGACGATGCTAATGATATTTAAGAGAAAACACCCTCACAAACAACATACACCAGAGTAATGTCTCCATACTATAAGAGAAATCACCATTACAAACAAGTGATGTTAGCAAGACAAGAAATACATGCACTGACTGCGTTCACTCAAAACACAACAGAAGCAAGATACATCACTATATTTTTAAAAGGTCAGTGTAACAAGGCCTATCTTGGAAATATGTCCTTGAATAATACGTTTGCAGCAGCAGTAAAACATACTTATAATCTGATCTTCACTGATCAGAGTAACAAAGTGGAATGCAATGAAAGATACCACCACCATAATCATGTGAGGGGACAGCTTTTCCTATACTAGCTAAGATAAAAAATGTGAGAGGAGTGACAAGCTCTCTTTCTTACCATAATTTCTTAAAAGAAAACTACTTTCAACACCCCCCCCCCCCTCTCCACCAGCTATATTATTCAAATAAAAATGTCCGTTACATCTAGATATTAAGGAACCATCCCACAACTCAGCCTTCTGCTATCTCCAACCACAAGTCACTAAATAAAACTGTGATGACCTCCTGCCAAAGTACGGGGACCCCATTTTAGGGGAACAAAATATAGAGACCCACTAACCCTGTGCCTTCTGGCATATTTGTGTATTCAGGGCTAGACCTTATTTTATGGACCACAGCATTCGGTGGGTGATGTGGTCAACATCCTGCCGACCACTTTTACTTCCAAGGACTGCACCTGGCACCCATGGGTTGACCTGGGAGCTGAGGTCATTTTCTGATAAACAGTCCGGCTCAGTCAGGATTTGACCCCATGAAAGTTCAGCAGTACACAATTATTCTTACAAATCTGCACTTTTTCTGAAAAATATATCAGAAGTGGTCATGAGCCGCCTTTTCTTCCCCTCCTATTTCTAAACAAAATTTGTGGGAAAGCGAACATGTTCCCTTATATTGTTATATCACCTCTATTCTTAAGTAAGCTAACAAATACATCACAAAAATAAAGTGAATTATTTCACCATCAGGAATTTTTTTTTTTGAAAACAGAAAAATTAAGGTGAAATTATTTTTAAGCACATCTTCTCCCCCCCAAAAAAAAAAAATGTATAAAAACGGCCGATATTTATATGAGAGGCAAAATTGCTGATATAGATAACTTACTTCAGGCGAACGAAAGAAGAAGAAAACCAACAATAAATCTGATAACATCAAATGAGAATTGCATACTCAAGTAAATATCAGCAAAATAATCTGCGGTAGCAGCACTGCAACTGGGGGGGGGGGGGGGCCTGTGGAGCGTTGGACATTTATTGACCACACATTATTACAGCCTAGGTTCTTACAAATAATTGCCAGATGACGTCACGGGGTCTACGGACCCCCTGAAATAGTGGACTGTCTGCCGGGCCCACCCTGAAATAGGAATAAAAACGAAAGCACCCACAATAAATAAACTAATCCCAGCATTCATTGTTTTAGAGGACCCTTTACCACGCCTTCAGGCGTAATGGGCATATAGGGCTAGACTTATATATATTTGACAAACCCATCGGCACTTGGTGGGTAGCATTTATTGACCAACATTATTACATTTATTTTGTGGACCCAGGGGTCTGCGGACCTTCAAACTGCAACCACTGATCTGATTACAGGGGTGAGGAATGCCGGGCCCCCAGGCTGCATAAGGCCCACAAAATCCTTTTGGCGGGGCCCAGGAAAATGTCAGCTACTCTCCAATTCTGGACTGATACAAATCTGAAAATGCCGTTGTGAGAAGCAGCGACATCAATAACAGCCAACATTCCAGACCTCATCAAAGAAAATCAGTTGAAGCTATCACTTCAAGAGCGGATCAACTGTTTCAGAGCAATCTAACATGCTGAGGAGGTAAGACGCCCATCTGTGCTGGGAATTGGAATCTCAGATCTGCAGTGCTTCTTGAAGATCCCTACAGGGTACAGCCTGCAATGAGTGGAGGGATCAATATACAGACAGATGTGAGGTTGAGCAGAACCTGACCATTTCTTGTGTCAGCCCAGCAGCAGAGTGCCATGTTTCAGCTCTGCATTTATGGAGGCCTCACTGAATGGCGAGAAATGCCCATGTTATCTGCCTGCCTCTGTCCAATCCCTGAGTGTCAACTAACCTGCTCACAGCTGCCCTGGATGGGTTGCCTAGGGAAACTAACCAGGAAGGCTAACCCAAGAAAACTAAATGCCTGATGGAAGTTGGATGTGTCGGCCAAAAGGCACAAATATCGCAGCTATGCTGTTAAGAAGCACAGCACATTTATGTCACTCAACAGAAATGAAGAATAACCAACCTTTCTGTAATCAAGTAGTTGTCACTTTAACTCTTTCTGTACCATGGAATTTAGCTTGAAAAAGCAACAACAACAAATATATTTTGGCCCGAAGGAGCCTAACAGAGACACTATGGGACAGAGACGCATTCATTCTTTATCCTATTGTGCCACTATATGTCATATATGACTCACATTTGATTTCCCTATTCCTTTCTATCTTGCGCAATGACTTCAATATTATGGATGGAATCCAGTCCTACACCTCAGGTTTCTCTCATCAATGTCGCCTTTGAGCTTCTCTTGAACTTGCTCATTTCCTCAATACCTACATGTCACCGGCTGGTGATCTCTGTTGGTTTCTTCTCAGAATGTGTCAAATATAGCTCCACCCAAGCCTGCAAGGGCTCTGATTCATATGCAGATACTTGACCACTACAAAACAGTTTCCTTCTGCTAAATGATTACAGAAAATATACTTTTATGGACTGGAAGCAAGCATAACATAAAGAATGTATAAATATTTCTTTAATGCTGGTCATGTGGAATGAACTGATGGAATGACATTACTAGAAAAATGTCTATGTGGAACTGGAGATACAATAAAGGTAGTCATCAAATCATAACTGGACAGCCTGCAACTGGGTTAGCTCGCAAGTGTTCAACAAGACACTATGCCATCATCAAGAAGCAGTCCTCGATACAGACCTGGATCACTGCAGTCTGTTCAAATCTGGCAGTTTGATTCATCGTATTTCTGGCCAGAGACTACATCACTGCAATTTGGCAAGTTGTGTTTCTGGCCACATTCATCATTACAGTTTGGCCCATCTTGTTTCTGACCAAAAGATATTACTGCAATTGGCCCAAATTTGCTCCTGAGTACAAACCACAGCAGTTGGACAGACTGTTTTCAGACAGAGATCACGGCAATTTGGCCATTTGTTTGCCAACACAGACTACATCACTGTCATTTGGCCGTCGAGTCAGGAACAGAAGAATGAACAGAAACTTGGTCCCATAAATGCAGTGGCAATATTTGATGCAAATACTGCAAGTTCTACTCAACTCATTTTGAAAGAATAAGAAGAAGAAGAAGAATAAAATGCCGTGCTAATCTTTCTTTGGCTGATACTTTTCTAACCTTGACAGCAGTCCTTGAAGACCTGCGAATATGACACGGAAACAAGGTAGCTTAGGGATATGACCTCTACCCCAAAATCAAGCATATCCGGTTTATCAATTCAGTGTTAATGACAAGGATTTTTATGTTTAGAATCAAAAGGATAACACACTAATCCCTCATCGAGAATTAGGGATTGGGCGTCTCCCATTCTCGAGTAAGGATATAAACAAATTAGAAGGATCTTGCCACTGTTTAAAATCCCTGCACCTCAAAATTAAAAGAGCAGGCGAAAGTGGCCACTGTTTGCTAAACTGCAATATCTATATACACACACCTTACACACATTTTATACACAAATTTTATTCCCAGTAAGATCAAGAGGTGAAGAAAGAAAAGAGGTGTGTGTGTGTGTGCACTCGCGCATCTGTGTTTGTTTAGTTCTTGTATGAGAAGTTGTACTAAATCTCTCCAGCTGTCATGGCAACTAAACTCTAACAACAATAACAAAACACACATACACACAAAAAAGGGCATTTACGATCAGATCAGGTGTAGGATCACACTGATATGCAACACAGTGGAATTTTCAGAGTTGTCTGTTCTGTGAGTCCTAATGTGTCTATATTCTAGGTAGGAACATAGAGGCAGGGACTAGCTCACAGACAGTGTCGTTTCTGGAGAAAACAGAAATGTAGGGCTTCGATCAGGGAAGAAGGGGAAGTGATCAACACATGATATCAAGGACAACCTAGCCATGAAAGTTCATGGGGCATGACAGTTGGTAGCAGACTTAGTGGTGTTCCATGATGACAGCAACATTCTGCAAAGGAACTGCCATTCTATGAATCCGTGTCTGTCAACATTAACTTTCTCTGACACAATAAGACAAAGTTCACACTGAAAGTCAACATTTTTGTTCCAAGATGAGAGCAACATTCAGCACAGGACATGCTACACTATGAATCTGTGTTGTGTTAATGTTAACTTTCTCTGACCAAGACGGACACAATAAGTCCAGGCAGACAGAAATCAAACCGAATGTTAACATTTACAAAATCTATAATCGGAAAAAAATTTATTTGGGCTGCATAACTCAGAGCAAAGAACATTTAATTCTACGAGCTTTTTTCTTAATTGATAGCGCCGCCCTAGTTGCTGTCTCAAAGACATCTCGAACTCCGTCTTTGGTCTTAGCAGAACATTCCAGGTAAGCGTACGCGCCAATCTTTTCCGCCATTCCTTTGCCTTCTTCAAACTTTACCGGCTCCTGTTTCATCTTGTGCAGCTCCCGAATGGTCACTTGGTCGTGACGTAGATCTTTTTTATTGCCCACAAGAATGATGGGAACATTTGGGCAGAAATGTCGAACTTCTGGAGTCCACTTTTCGGGAATGTTCTCCAAACTGTCAGGACTGTCTATGGAGAAGCACATGAGGATGACATCGGTGTCAGGGTAGGACAGTGGTCGAAGTCTGTCGTAGTCCTCCTGCCCTGCTGTATCCCACAGGGCCAGTTCCACCTGTGTAAAAAAAATAAAGTTGAGAACATTAGGAAATATGGCTACTGCATGAGATATTTGCTAACAGTGGATTTACAAGTCGACCTACATTTAAATATCACTGTCTTTACTGCCTATTTATAACACTTTTTAGGGCGGTGTTAAACAAGAATGTCCTTGGCAAGGGGATCTATAGGTGATTTACAAATTTAAGGAGGTAAAGGTGGCCAAAGTGATGCTGACCATATTAGTCTAACGAATGATGGCCAGACTTTAAAAAATATGGGTCAAACACCACGGCACAGAAAGGGCTTCAAACTTGACGTTTTATACAAAACTACCCAATATCAATTCATTAGCTTGTGCACAAAATATTGTATTCCCCCTGTATAAGGTGTAACCATGAATAGGACAACCCTTATTTTATCAGCTCAAATGAATACTGTAAGCAAATTCCATGTATAAAACGACTCCCAATTTTAACTAAAACCAAAATTTCAGAAAGCATGTAACTCTATGCAGGAAAAGATTTTAAAAAAAAAAATGCAAATACTACCGCTTCTGCACTCGCCTTTAAAAGTACAACCAGACTATGATATCACCGCCCAACACATCTGATTTCAGTAAATCTCAATGGCGAACGAAAGAAGAAGAAGTAAATCTCAATGTCAGATCTGTTTTCTCTTACACTCACTGGCAACAAACTCTGGCGGAAAGATCTGGTTGTTTATCTGTTGTCTTGTTCCAGAACCTAAGCACTGCGTGCACATCCGTTTCACTGATCTGGCTTATTTGTATGCAGACCACTGGTTCCTTAGCTCTCAGGCAAATGTACTTCGACTTTCAAGGATGCTCCCAATATCTCGACTCCTACGACATGCCTGATGGGGAGGCAGTAGTCTACTCTAGTTTCTCCCCCCCCCCCCCAACAGGGCCCAATTGGGGAGGCAGTGGGCTATTCTAGTCCCTCCCCCCCAACAGGGCCCAATTGGGAAGGCAGTGGTCTATTCTAGTTTCTCCCCCCCCCCCCCCCAAGAGGGCCCATTTGGGGAGGCAGTGGTCTATTCTAGTTTCTCCACCCCCCCCCCCCAAGAGGGCCCATTTGGGGAGGCAGTGGGCTATTCTAGTTTCTCCTCCCCCCCCCCCCCCCAGAGGGCCCATTTGGGAAGGCAGTGGTCTATTCTAGTTCCCCCCCCCCCCTCCCAACAGAGCCCAATTGGGGAGGCAGTGGGCTATTCTAGTTTCTCTCCCCCCCCCCCCCCCCAACAGAGCCAAATTGGGGAGGCAGTGGGCTATTCTAGTTTCTCTCCCCCCCCCCCCAAACAGAGCCCAATTGGGGAGGCAGTGGGCTATTCTAGTTTCTCCCCCCCCCCAACAGAGCCCAATTGGGGAGGCAGTGGGCTATTCTAGTTTCTTCCCCCCCCCCCCCCCAACAGAGCCCAATTGGGGAGGCAGGTGGCTATTCTAGTTTCTCTCCCCCCCCCCCCAAGAGGGCCCAATTGGGGAGGCAGTGGGCTATTCTAGTTTCTCCCCCCCCCATCCAACAGGGCCCAATTGGGGAGGCAGTGGGCTATTCTAGTTTCTTCCACCCCCCCCCCCCCCACCCCAACAGGGCCCAATTGGGGAGGCAGTGGGCTATACTAGTTTTCCCCACAACAGGGCCCTGGAGCCCATATTAGACCTCATCTTTTATAAAATGCTTATTATGAATGAGTATATTTAACTACTGCTACAAATGTTGTATTATTTAAGAAGATGGAAAAGAAGAAAATTACAAGTTAGTTGAGAGTAAATAATTATGATATACACCCATCTGCCAAAAATTATTAAAGAAACAACACTCAGGTATTTGAAAATATGAAAGTAAGCAATATTAGAATATATAACAAAGATATACGTGGCATAATATATATATATATATATATATATATATATATATATATATATATATATATATATATATATATATATATATATATATATATATATATATATATATATATATATATATATATATATATATATATATATATATATATATATATATGTTTGTGTATATATAGAAGAAAGAAGCAAGTGGAATGTGTCCTTTCATTTTGGCTTTTTTTTTAAATCTATAGTTTAATCTTCTGTGTTCTTCATCAGTCACATTCAATCCTTTCTGGGCCACAAACAGGATGTTGCTCGCTGCCAAAAATATATCTACTTCTCTTCTTGGGATGGATCCCCAACTTCGGCCAGAGGTTGGGGGTGCAAACCTGCAACCCATGTTCAGGAGTCCTGTCTGTCTACTCTGCAGTCATAGTTGGCAGTTTCTTGTATGCCTACCCTGTGTAAATATGCTCTGAGACAACAGAATCCTATATCCTGTCACTCTCTGGTTTGTAGTCTTCGGATAATCTTTAAGAAACAAGATGTGTTGGCCGAAATCCTGCAGCCATACTGCAAATGGGCACAAAATGATTACATCCTTACATAAAAGCAGACAAGGAAGAAAAAAAAAACAGTCAGTATATTTCAGTTTCTAAGTAATGCTCTTTAGTGCTCAAATCATGTAGAATATCAGGAATTCCTTTTAGCAGGTCCTTGTTATTCTGTGAATTTTTCTGTAATATTCAATTTCCTCTTTTTCTGTGTTCACCCTAAACAGGGCGGTTGGCAGTTGTGCTGTTGACAGCTAGGCTGTGATATCTTGTCAGCCCAACACATCCCCTAATCAGTCAGATTTTACCACATACTTGTTACCCAGCAGTGGGTCTACTCACTGCTCCCCTAAAATGGGGCCTTGCAACCCACACAAAGTATATTTCAGTACAAATCCCCCCAATTTTCTTTAGTCATTGCAGAAAGGCCAATGGCTCAGATCCATAAGTTGCTATAGGACAGATACATGTTCTCAACATTTGTTTTCTGGCATAAGTCTACTAAAAAGTAATGCATACAGAGACAGCACAATAAAAGGAGGTTTGAAGTTTTGCACAACGGATCAACATCATGGCATACGGGTGTAACCCATAAGTGCTCCGTTCTTCTTCTAACTCGAGTCCAAAGAAGCTCAGCACAGTGCACAGGCTCTGTAGCCTCAGCGAGGATCCTGAAATACTTTAGGTAGATTTTTAACTCCAAATTTTGCCCGGGCAATGCAGTTAGGCTACGCTTTTCAATTTCCAACTTCTAAGGGACTTTTTTTTTACACAATGCACACAGGTGTTCGATCTCATCACTACCCAGAGACCAGGGGGAATTACCAGAAATCTAAGCCCATGTGAACAAATCCCAATCCTAACCGGGGATCAAGCCTGGAACCTCTAGCATTCGAGGTGGACACTATGCCTCGAGACCACGCAGCCCCCTAGCAGAACAGAACGGAAGAATAAACTTAAACTGCCAGCCTAATGTGAAGTATAAGGCAGATCAGGATGATGTTACAGAGATAGCAACATGCGGGAGGAGGAGAATGCAGACACATACATAAACATCCAGATACACAGACCCCACAAATTTGCTGTTATAAATGCACATGACAACATGATGCTGACAAGCCTCTGCACAGACTCCCCGCATAGCTAATGTTACTTATTCTTTTCCTTAGCGTCTACCAACTGTAAACTCTTCTGGCAGAGTCGTCACTGTTTGTCCATTTTTTTAGACATGTTCCAGAACATGAGTTTTGAGTGCACATGCATTTTACAGATTTGACTCATTTTTTTGCAGACTGCTTGTTCCTCGGCTCTCAAGCAGATGCACTCCAACTTTGAAGGAAACACCCCTTCTTTCTCCCCCCCCCCCCCCCCCCCCCCCCCCCTTTCTTTCTCCCCCCCCCAATCAATAAAACAAGGCCCTGGAAACTATTATAAATTCCTTCAACTGACAGTAAGCAATCTCAACTTGTGTATGTGAGACATTTCAAGGTAAGCATAATGTTTCAATTTTTCTCCTCTTATTTCCTCTACTTCTGGAATGCCTTGCAGCATGAGGTTTGGAAGAGGTTGCTGGAACTGGCTTTTCTGTTTGCTCTGAACAAAGTACTTTTAACTGTCTCTGATATTTCTCCATGTTTACATGGTCAACCTCTGGCTGTTACCACTGCTTTCTCTAACTTAAAAAATATCTCTACAAATTTCAACACATTAATCCTTCCAGACCCAGCAGTTTGTACTTTAACTACTCATTTTTACATTTTCTTCCTCTTTTTAGTTTTATAAATCATATTTTACCATTGCTATTCAGAAGCTGTGATAACATTGGGGCCAGTTGCTCACAGGCTTGCTCAAAAGCCTTAGGCTCAAATATGCAACAATTGTCTGGTCTATGAAGAGGACACTGCAGACTCAACTACCACATGTATAAAATAAAATGTATTCGGTCCCTAGTGTGCCTGTCAAACAGGACCACAAACATCTAAGCACATTCTATAGACCTGCCCCCTCTACCTACAACTACCCAAAAAAAATATGGCCACAAGAGCTAAGTGTGTAGAGAAAGCTATAGGGAACCATCAAGGACCTGCTACTGACAAGCGAGTTTACAGAGGCAATCCACGTGATGGTCTGATCTGAGCACAGGAAACGAAACACACACACACAAAAAGAGTAATAAATCTGTACTGAAGCAATTTTTGTCTTTAAAAATTGATGCTGGCTCCAGGGTCAACCCAGCAAAGAATTGTACCAGGTCACCTGGGGAGTAAGAACAGCTAACGTGATGTTGGCCATTAAAGCTCATATTTACCACTTTGTGATGCAGGCAGGTTTGAGAGCTTTGAGCCTCAAGACTTAGGGCTGCATGGCTAGTGCTGTCACCACACACTGTGCAGTTTGGGATTTGTGTTTGTGTGTGTGTGGGGGGGGGGGGGGGTGTTACAGTGATGAACTACCAACATGAAGCCTGTGGATACACTTGTTCAAGTTTGTTATACCTTGTCCCGAGGCATACAATTATAACCTGTCCATGCAGGTCGAGCAAGTGATAGTCATCACTGACTCTCCCTGTGTGGGTTCCAGGGCCTCAATGTGGAGGAAAACAAGAACAGACACACTGCCTCCCCAACAAGCATGTCGTAAGAGTTGACTAATTGGGGGCTTCCTTCGAAGTCAGAGTGCATCTGTCTGAGGCACGGAACCAACAGTCTGCATACAAGTAAGTCAGATCTGTTAAATGAATGTGCACGCAACACTGAGGTAAAAGTCCAGACATGGACAAACAACCAGAACTTTCCTCCAAAGTTTACAGCCAGTGAGCGTGAAGAATATGAAGATCACTGACCCAATTCTACTCACACATGATAGACAGGATGTCCTTTCCCCCCTCAAAGTATGCTATTTCATTTCCTTCCTGTTCACATTCCCCCTTTTTCGTAGCAAGTTTATGCACAGATTCATTTCTTGGTATTCTAAAGTGGGACGGCACCCAATGCAATAGGAGAAATAAATACTAAATAACTGCAGATAATTAAAAAAGATGAAAAAGTATAAAAACCCTTATATCTAGAAAGTGGGGTGGGAGAGAGAGAGAGGGGGTAAAGAGTTTAACACATGCCAGGATCAGCAATCTTGCACACCAACACAAACATGCCGTGCTGCACTCACTTATGCAAGAAGAAGATCGTAAGGTGTTAATTGTCACTACAGGTTACCACATACTATCACTGGATATATATGATGATTTCAAAAAGCTCTCATACTGGCTTACTTTAGTAGAAAAACAGCATTTAGTTAACATAGTTAGTAACTAAAGGTATTTCGTATGTGCAAAAAATATCCCAGAAGATAATAGGAGGGGTGCAATTTACACTGGTGTAAACTATGTTTTTAGTTTAACAAATATAAACTAAAAAAAAAAAAAACACCAAATGTCCAAAAGCTACAATGGAAATGTGTAAAATAATTGTGTGTACCATTTAAAATGCAAATAAACAAGTAGGAGAGACAGCTGATTCTTTTTAGTACAAGAAAGACCAAAAGCTAAAAATAAATGGAAGCAAATGGGATATTATTTTCAATCAACTATGTTAGTTTATAGAAATGTTATCTAGAAACCCATGACAAGCTTTATGTTTGGAGAAAAAATATAAGACATGCTTAATAAAAACTTTTAACTCACCAAAATTACTTAATATCCGTTTGAAAACTGCTGACTCTAGAACGCTTTGGATGGATTGTTTTATCCACGATAAAACAAACCACAAAGGAACCAAAAAGCAACCAGCGTTTTAACTTTCATTTTGCGGTCAAATTAACGCAAACCTCAGCGGCTACTGATGATAATGCATAAAACATTGAAATCACTTCAGAACATTCCAACCGACTATTTGCTGCCCCCCGGTGACATCAAAGCATAATGTGAATAATATTTTTGACATAGAAAAACTGACCTATGACCTACAAGTAGCAACAACTGCAGTGAAAACAACAGATCATATAATACAGATAACATTCAATTGTATACATATCACACACACATACACATATATATTGGCTCAACAAAACACTGACATTGATTTCATCTGATAGATGTATTGTCCAGGATATTTCCCTGTATCTCGTCAGATGCATACTACAGTAAATAAAGGTAAAGGACCCTTTCCCCCGCCTTCGGGTGTATTGGGCATATAGGGCTGACCTATATTTTATACACCAATCAGCACTCTGTGGCAACATCACACCGACTGCCTTTACTTCACAGGACTTATCTGATACCCATTTAAGGCTGGGGGGACCAGGGATCCAAGGTCATTTTTGGGAGACAAAAAAAAAAAAAAGTCTGGCTCTATGAGAACCTGAACTCTTGCCCTTCAGATCTACCTGTGAGCGTCTAGCCGATAAACCACGACAGCTCCTTGCATATTATTTTAACCGATACACCACGACAGCTCCCTGCACATTATTTTAACCGATACACCACGACAGCTCCCTGCATATTATTTTAACCGATACACCACGACAGCTCCCTGCATATTATTTTAACCGATACACCACGACAGCTCCCTGCATATTATTTTAACCGATACACCACGACAGCTCCCTGCATATTATTTTAACCGATACACCACGACAGTATAAAATAAAATGAAGGTGATTCTTCTGCATTCACATGGGGCAGTTAGCATGTTACATTGTGGTTAGCTAGGCTGTGATATCTGTGCCTGTATGCCCAATACTTGCAACTTCAGCCAAGTCCTTAATTAGTCATTTTTCACAATATGCTTGCTAAGGAGCAGCACATCTATCCCCCTCAATGGGACCCTTGAAGCCACATAGTAAGACACGAAGCAAATTTTTTTAATCCTTTTCATTGAAACACATAACTCCAGCACACTCAAATGTAACATTTTATTCTAATACTGACGAGATTCTGTGAAATATGCCAGGCAATAAAATGTGTGATCTATAATTTGTCGTTACATTTTATTAGAATATTAATGAGACACAGCCAAATATGCCAATCAATCTATTGTTGGTGGTCTTTGTTAGCAATAACAGTGAAGAAACATTGCTTTGACCCTCGGCAAACATTTTCTTCTAATCTTCAAAGTAAAGTATTTTAAATAGAAACAGAAAAATAAACATTTTGTTGAGTCAATTACAAAAATAACCTTATTAACAAAGACTCAATATATACACTAATGTACAACACAACTACACATGTAGATAAATTCTTGGAAAAAGCAATGGGGGAAATATAAAATAGACTGCAGCATGAAAAACAAATTCACACAATGGTATGTATACACATACACACAAAATAAAGAAAGCATGTAAAAGTTCATAAAGAAAGAATGTAAAAGTTCAAATGTTCAGTGACCAGACAGCACTACAGGTATAACATTAGTACCGTCTCAGCATCCGCCTGAACTTTCCATGAACAATATTGCCTGCTCATTTTACGACAATGACTTAACCTTACAGCTATGGTCTGGTCAGAACTGATTCAACCCTTCAACTGAGGATTGTACCCAAGAAATAGGAAATGCACTTACATCACTTTAACCTCTCTCTGTGAGTATGCGTGTGTGTGTGCACATACAAATAACAAATTGCACTGAAACATTTCAAGCAAGAATTATATCCCCACCACCCACATAGGACAGATGGTGTAGTTCATCTAGCTATAGGATATTCCCGTATAACTGTTTCAAACACCTGAACAGGGAGATATGTTCGCATCATACATACAGTGCCTCTAAGATTCTGGCTGAAAAATCTAGATTGCAGTCCCAGAGAGAAAATTTAAAGAAAAGAAAAAAACACAAATGCACTGTAACATTTGTAACTCATATTCAGTAATGTTGCAGAAGAAATTGGAGTCCACTTTACATTTACCACCACAGTGAGAAAGTAAACTCCAGTTTCAAGATAAAAACAATGCTTTGTCAAGCCAGCTAGACACAAATGTACACAGAACTATAAACAACAACACAACATCATTATTAACCTGTTTGCCGTCAACTTCAATATCTGCAACGTAATTCTCAAACACTGTGGGCACGTAAACTTCAGGAAACTGGTCTTTGCTGAACACTATAAGCAGACATGTTTTACCACAAGCACCATCACCAACAATCACAAGCTTCTTTCTAATGGCTGCCATGGTTGGCGGTCTGGATGTCTGTGAATGAGAAATGTACACAGCTTTGTACTAACAATAATACTGACTAATGGGTGGACTTGAGATTTCATTCTTTCTTCTTCCAGTTCACTGGCTGTACTCTGGTTGAAAGTTTTGGTTGTTCATCCACTTCTGAACTTTGGTCTTGTTCCATAACTCCTGAACAGAAGTTTTGCGTGCAAATCAGATTTACAGATCAGGCTTATCTGTATGCAGACTTCTAGTTCAGGCAACTTCAAAGAAAACACCTTTAAGGACATGCTTAACCGTATTTACTGCCAGTATTTACCACTTTTAGGGTGGCGTAGGGCAACAGGGTCGTGAGCCTGAGAATTTTAGGCTGCGTCACTGTACTGTCATAAACTGTGCGGGTTCATCATCATCATTATCCTGTAACACTACGTATCGTTGGGTCACCAGTTTCTGTTGACTGTCTGATCAGCTCTCTCCACATTTGGCTGTCAGTTGCAATGGACTTCATGGTTGCATGCCTGAGGCCTGTCCAGTCAGTCAGGTTCTGTAACCAGGTCTTTCTTGGTCTGCCTCTTCTCCTCTACTGAGCCTTGCAGTATTGTTTTTGAGAGGCCGTTAGATCTTATTACATGTCCATACCATTGCATTTTTAGACTTTTCACTGTAGTTAAAAAAGGTTCATAGTTGCCAAGTGCAGTATAATTTTATGGCGAACTTCTTCATTTGTAATGTGGTCTGTATGATATGCCAAGAATTTTTCTGAAACACCGCATTTCTAAAGATTGTATCTTTCTTTCAAGTTCAGCTGTTAAGGTCCATGTTTCACAGCCATATGTGAATGTACTAATAACTAGTGCTCTGAGCAACTGAATCTTAGTTTTGCATGAAATCTTTTTAGATTTTAAAAATGTTTGCTGCTTGGCAAGGACCGATGATGTTGTGCTAGTTAGGATTTATATTTTTGCCCTAAATTTAAAAAGCAAAAATCATAACATGTGACTAATGAGCTTATTGTGAAAAATTGTCAGTTTGAAATTATAAAGAGTAGGCCTATTGTTGTATATGAACGTCAATGTGGTGTGTAAAGAGTTAATAAAGCCAAGATGCACACGCAAATTCACCTTTTGTTGACGGGCTGTGAATGTAAACACTTGAGCCAATTAAAGTTGCAAAACAGGGTTGCTGGGTGTAAATGAGCTGGATGTAAACCCTGGATTTTGGGGAGAAAGTGAGATCCACACAGAATTGACAGCACGCTGGATAATCCTATGGTAGAGTGAGTCAGCTGTGTTTCATCAGTCTAAGTGTGTGGACATGTGCGTGAATTGTTCATTCTAAAATGAAATTTTGCTTGTGCTATTCTATTCTTGATATCTCATATATTTTCCAAATGACATTATGTATGTGCACAAATAATGGAAGTTCAGTAAAGGTCCCAAATTTAATGCTAAAGACTGCAACTGCACATTCAGGCACAATTAATTTCTTTGATACTAACATTACTCATTATGACTGTTTTCTATTTACAAGCTTAGGCATAGTTTTTTTAATACTGTATCCATCATTTTCTGTTGTTATTTCTATGTGTTACTATTTAAATGACAAAAATAAATCAGGAAACAGTATAAAATATTCTTAGATAGCCTTGTTCATGCTTTCAAATGATTCTAAATGGCTACCGATTCTTACAGCAGCTGTTTTTTTTTTTCTAAACTGCTAATATATGTTCTTTACATGAAACTCTTAGACAGTATGATAACCAAGAGAAAATAGAAATGGGTTGGTCACATTATGAGACTGAATCCTGATATACCTGCCAAACAGCTCACACATGGAAAGCAGAGAAAAAAAAAGAAAAAAAGGGGCGCCTAAAAACAACATGGAAACGAATGATTGGAAGTGACCTGAGTGCAGCATCTTGACACAGAAAACTGCACTGAAGATTGCACAGGACAGGAAAGCTTTGAAAGTCCTCTCCGAGGCCTCATGTGCCACTAGGCATAAAGAGAACTGATAATGATGAATATTTTATATTCCAAATATTTGTCAAACGCTGCATAACATTGAATGTTTAAGTGTTCTAACAGTTTGATTATTTCCTCATGTTTAATACTTTTTCCACTGTTATATAATTTATGCCAAATAAGTCAGTTATCTTATTTAAATTGTCTTTCCTTTGAGGTATTCAGGGCACTGTTTTCTGTTCTTTCTTATATTTCAACACAACTCACAAATCTATCACCTAAATAAAGGCTGCACCAACAGAATGGTATACTCCATTATCCCCTACATCCAAAATAACTCAAATATGTATAATGTCAATCTAACTACGCCCATCCCGCCCTGTGCTCACAAAAGCAGCCACACCCTCTCTATGCAAGTGGTGCGATATGATTTTGATGACTAAGACTAAGCTACGACCAGCATTGATAATTCGTTTACAACTCGGTTAACCAGCTGTGCATTTAAACGAGCATTTCCAGCTCATTATTGTGCGGTACACGATACATTTAAAAGTACAGGCAACTTCTCGTAAATAAACTATAAACGCGACACACATATAATGTTCGGTTAATATATTTTATGGGACTCCCAACAGTTGCAAGACCGTACGTCACAAACATGGCGCACTTTCACTTGCGTCAATCGCGACACTTCATTCAGGAAAATCTTCGCAGAATTCGGAAATTTACACGTATTTATTCTAAAAGCAATTAAACATTGAAATCATACAAACACTGAAGTTATCAAGCGCTAACAAAACCTAACCTCGGGGTCTTGTCAGGTCAATTTTCATAAGAAAAAGGCGGAAACCTTCAACACATCGTCGTCGGATCCCCATAAAAATAATTATACATTAAGGACGACATAAAAAAGACACCCATGAATATCTTCGTCACAAACAGGAAACAGGCTGCAGACAAACCATATTTAAAACATGACTATCTCTATGCTTTTAACAAAAATGAAGTACCTGCAATTGAAGCTGTGGTGGTCTATGTTTGTATTGAAGCTACTCGCAGAATCTCACTTCTATGAACCACGCCTCAATTCGACCTAGAGGGGTAGCTGCAATTCCTGACGTCACTCTGGAATTCTGGGAGCTTCAGTACCACATCCTCCTTTCACTTTTATCTCCGTGAAAGGATCAATCTAATTTACCGATTTAAGAATTAACATAATAGCACACCGAGCATACCTATTGGTGCTCCGTCCCCCGCAGCAAATGTCTCAAAATTTAGATGCTAACTATTCCCGTAGCAAGCTGATTAGAAACTGGTAGTTCTCTAGCTCACATATGTCCCTCCTTGCCTGATCCCCAGTTAATATAAACAAGGATGTTGAATTAAGAATGGACATAATTCTTCGTCCCAGGTCGACTCAGCCTTGAGTGGGTACCGATGCAGTCCCGAGAAGTAAAGGCGGCCTGTGTGATGCTGACCACATCACCAATCTTGTGCCGATTGGTCTATAAAAATATAGGTCTAGCCCTATATGCCCTATACGCCTAATGGCGTGGAAAGGGTCCTTTACTTTTTTACTTTTACAATTCTTCGTCGTTCCTCTTGTGGGATGCAATGTTTCGTTATTTTGAAGCCCCATTCTAGCTGTTGCTGGGGGCCGCAATATCCTCATCCGCATGGTAGCACTTTGTGTCACTGGGTGTTTATCGCTCTGTGTGATGTCCTGATGTGGTAACAATTTACGTACTTAAAAATGGACATCATAGCACTCAGGAGACTACCATAAGCGCCCCGTAACTATCTTCAGTAGCAAGAGAAGAGTTCCAATTCCGATGGAACCAGTAACTGTCTGATTGTATATCGGCCTTGCCTTTCCCTTGAGTGTCAAGCGTATGTCAAGATTCCCTGGTCATTCTTCGCATCCCTATTCTCCTCAGACCGCAATGATCTATCTGTGCCTCCGCATAGTTCTCTCGCGCCCAAAGGGCCCTCACAACATTTAAAATAAATAAGATTAAGAGAGTAATCAAATGAATGTTGTAGATTAAAACTTGATGTTATTACCACTGACGTCCAACACTTACAGCGAGTGGCTTGCATCACTTGATAAGACTCAGATCAGAGCTTAATATGGATTTCCTCTCCAGGATATTTGGGGATGCTTTATTAATATCCTACCCCAAACAGGGAAAATTCACAGGTCACTGGAAAGTCTAATATTTAGGGGGGGGGTGGTAGATAAGCTGCATGCAGTCGTGGGGCCTAGGCTGCATTTTCGCGTGGGGCGTAGGTGGGTTGGGGTTAGGGCCAGTTCTTTTTTTTTTTTTTTTGTCCGGGTCGGTCTCCCCACATGCCCAGCCTGGCCGCCCGACCACCCGAAGGATATTACGTCGGTAATCCAGGCTGAACGGGGAAACCGCCCGGCAGATTTTTAAAGATGGCATTGCCGATTGGGTTTCTCCCGTGATTTGTGGATGTGACCGATCCCGGGCTCTTTTGGCCAGACCAGTGCAGCAAAGTTACACTTTGATCTTAGCCAAAAGGCCGAGAAGCGAGTTCTAGATGTTTTGGGGTCGTTAAAATCATCACAAAGCCAGGAAACAAAGTCTTACCACCTACTAAAATGTTGGACTGTCATGTGACGTAATTTGGGGTACGATATTAATAAGGAACCCATTCAGGTGTCTGGGGTAATAAGCAAGCAGTAGATCGACTACTACCGCCCTTCTGTGCGGGGAGATACTTTATGATACAGCTTTATGACCACCCCCCCCCCCCCACCAATGCAACATTAAAATAAATGGGACAAGTCTAAAGACGGTCGATACGTTTAGGCAGTTGCGTACCCTGATAGCAGCAGATTGGAAATGCATTTTAAAAAAAGTTCAATGTTGATTAGCTCGAGCAAAGGCAGCACTTCAAAACATTAGGAATATTCTATCTTTGTAAATTAAGCTGAGAAAAAGAAATGTTAAGAGCTATATAGAGTCAATCCTGATATATGTAAGCGAATCAATGACAGTCAGCCGAATAGTGAAGAATTAT